CAGAACTTCAGTTGGTTTATTTCGTTTGACTTGCATAGCTAGCAATTTTGTTCTCCTTGCAGCAAGGGTAACAATTTTGTGCCACATTCATTTTACATACGCAGTGCTTTTCAGCATTGTGCTCACACACCTCATAAGCTGCTTAGTTAGCTACGTCAGCTGAGTACAGCACTGCCTTTCTTCAGGAGCATCAACCTTTCTAACTCCAGATTCCTTTTTGCGGGTGGGTCACCAGCGCTAGTTGTGTAGCAATCATATCCAGGTAGCACATCTGTACTGCTGTTATCAGTATTGTGTATGCTTGCAGCTATAGTTTGTATGTGCACTGTCTATACTGAGGCAAAATGAAAGTAAGTTCACTTGGAATAATTCTGGGTAAGCTTAAAAGGGTTTGATGTATTTTGCTTCAGCTAAACATATGCATAGCATCCTCTCTGCCCAGAAGCCAATCTGACCACTGTACAAATAACAACTAGTTCTCTGTATTGCCTGTTTTACCTCTTTTTAAATCCTCCTGTGATCTATTTATGGTCTTGCTGAAGTGAGAATAAATCTTTGCATTCATTTCAGAACAAGTAGAATTATATCCTTGAATATAAAGTCTTCTTGTCAGGGTGTGAATCATCTTGTGTATCTCTGAAGTTTTGTGTTTCTGTAGAAGTGATAAATCACACAGAATGCTTAATGATTGGCTTATCTAAATATTCTCCAGTTAGTGTGACTGATTTGTTTATGTGCTGTCTTTGCCAGACCAGTGAATTCCCCTCCACCTCACCCTGTCCCAGTGTGACGTACAGCACAATTAGCGTTGACAACTACCATCACATTTTCTGTTTCTCAGTGTGGTGTTTTCCATCTTAAGGCAGCATGGCTGGGTGTGAAATCATCATGAAATTACAACTAATACAAAAGGTGACAGTCTGTCTCCTTAGCAACCTGGGCCACTGTGTGCATGTAACCAGCCCATGCCGAAGTGAAAGACTTGGTGCTTATTCCCATGGTGTTTACTGGCAAATCTCAAGATTAACTACATCACTCCCTGAAGCTTTGGCATGAACATAGTGTTTGCAGCAAAGCAAACTATTTCTTCTTTTTTCCTTGTACAAGCAGGGGGGAATTTTGCTGGATATAAAATATGTACAGATGTGATAATGTCTTTGCACAAGGTAGAGAAAGGAAATAGCATTTTCTTCAGTTTCAGATCACTTCTTCTGGGGTCTTTGTCTTCATGCCTCACTGAGCAGAGCAGGCATCAGCAGTGCTGAGAGACATTCTTAGCTCCAGAACTCCAAAGGAAAAGGACAGATGTTTCAAAAAAAAAGATATATCAGAGTTCCCGACAGAGACAGGAGCATATAACATAGATAAGTCTATGGCATTTTTCCTTTTTGTATTTGGCTTTTTAGAAATTTTTTGCTCTGCAGGGAGTTGCAATAGTTTTCAAGGCACAACAGGACTGGGGCATTCCCAAGGACTTAGCTTGTAAACTATGACTGAGAGAACTCTTTCTTCTTCAGATTTCAAGGTAGAGTGTTTTATGTTAGCCAACACATAAAGCAAACTGCCAATGTGCACCTTTCATCAAGGAAAAAAGCTGTAAAATTTGATTCTTGCTTTAAAAATTAAAATTAGTGGCATTTGTGTTTCTCTAAGTGGTGCATACATTGTAAGATTGTAATAATAAATCCCACAGAAATTGAAAACTTATTTCTGGATAACCAAAGTGATCATTAAATTCATATATGTGATGCATACTTGCTGTCAGAAGAGCAGTTCACTTTGTATGTTTTCTGTGGGGCTGATCTCACTATAGGCAAGCTAACTGCCTAAAACATACTGTGTTGCATGGTCCGCTGGCTGAATTTTTGTAAACAAACAGAATGCAGATTAAGAATGCGGATTCTAAAAGAATCATTGATATATGAATAGAGGAGAATCTGATAGTGTTTAATTCCCCTTGGTTAGAGTGCCAGTATTTTGCCATAATGTCATTTTACTGCCATGTACCATATTTACTGGAGGTGTAGCTGTTAGCTGTGGAGCACAAGACATACAAAGATGCATTACATTCCTTTCACTTGGTTTGATAGGTAATACATTGTGAAGCTCAGAAAAGCTCAAAGGCTTTTTTTGTTTTTTAAAACAGCAGTTGCAGTATACTTTCTTTTCCCCATCCATTATGAGTGCAAAGCCCTCTGATGCTCATATTACTTTAGTGTAGCTTGTTAAACTTCCTAAGACTGAGATACATAAGAAATTTTGCCATTGGCCTGTAGTTAGAAGCAATTGTGACGTGCTTATAGAGGAAAAAGTGGTGGTGTCTTTTGAATGTGAGAGACCAGCTATGTTTGTGTCACCGCTGATGAAGTACAGTGTGACTTTGAGTGGGTCCTTCTTTTCTTTCCCCTGAAAATGAAAATATATTCCTCTGTGTCATGAAGTTTTAGAATAGACAAGTATTTGCAAAGGACTCGGCACACTGATGAGAACCAGCCCAATTCTGAGGTAGTCATATCCAGGAGATGAGCTCTAGCAGCTTTTTAACCAAGCAGATAAATACTTTTCATGTGTTAAAAAAGGAAAGAGAACACAGTGAATTTAATTAGTCACATATGGGTAAGCTACTTGCAACTTCTGAGTCATGGCCTTGGAAACTGACTTGCATGATTTTTTTTTTTTGAGGAAGTGTCCTTGAGTATACAGGTGATTTGGGGAACTGTATAAAGAACCAAAAATAATCAAGAAATACAAGCTTCCCTTCCAATGTCTGAGCAAAACTGCAATCAAGGAAACTCCAGACAACACCAAGTATGGCCACTTTAGAATATCTTATTTAAGTAGCTGTGATGGATCTCCACACTGACTTTCTTACAAGTTTTTATATCAAATTTGATTTCTTTCCTTCTCTCTAAGGCATGATATAAGGAAATGAAATTATCATATAGGCCTGTGAAATAAGGGTTGTGGTTTAAAGCACTCTGCTTGAGTTGCATAGAATCTATCTAGTGCACAGTAAAACTCATCCTTTTCAAGTGATAGAGGGATCTCTGGGATGAGATCAAGGCTACAATGAACTCTTTGAAGAACTAAGAGATGTTTCAGAGCTTTCGCTTAAGACATTTTGTTGAAGAGAAGGGAGATGGGAAAATGATCCTTGTGTGACAAATTTGAAAAACACTACATTAGTTAACAAAACTCTGCCTCTTCAAGTTGAAGAAAATAATCCCTGAACCCTCTTTTGTAGTGCTTATTTTCATTTTTCGCTATTCTGTTAATTTGATAGTTGATGTGATGTATGTATGTTTTTCTCAGATGGTTTGCACACACTTTGCTGACCACTTTATCATGTCTTGCAGATCACCAGTGTTCCTCAGACAATAGTTGAGAAACACTGGTCTAATACTCTATCAGAAGATTCTTTGCCATTACAGCAATAAAGGGGAAACACCACTGTCAGTAGGGTATGAAAAGAGATTTCTTTGGCATGCTAACCTGGAAAAATCAACGAGGAAGAGCGAGATCTCAACACTTATCAAAACATTGATAGAAAACTCAGGAAACGAATTTTTCTGGACTGACTGTAGGAAAAAAACTGAACTATTAGTATAAAGGAATTAACTAATATCCAACTTTATGGCTGAAAGAACTCAAACCAACAACATTTTGGTATTATTTTAACTAGTATGTTCAACACCCCTGACTTCTGACAAAATAAATGAGTGCTGTATGATGGGGTCATGAGCCCCAGAGTAAAAGATGGACAGGTCCTATGGGCCTGTTGGATAGAATCTCTACCAGAGGCTGGAATGCCTCTGTTAGGTGCAGTGTATGGAGAAAGTAACCAAGAGGTTAAGCTGGAGTCAGCAACTTCTTCAGGAAAAGTTTTCTTGTAGCAGGCTGTGAGTGGCGCTCTGCCAGCAGCTGCCTGGGTGCTGACTTGCATCTTGGCATCTCTGCAAAGTATTTTCCCACATTGAAGCCCTAGCACAAGAACTCAGAAGTAACACAGAAGTAAAAAAAAAAAACCAACACAAAAAACTCTTCTAGAACATAGATGCAGCCAATCTAGTGCATGCTGTTAGAAGTTCCATTTATCTTAAGTACAAGTTAGTAACAGTATTTCAAACTGTGAGAAAAATAATGGAAGCCGATACTAGCAATATGTGGGGATCTGACAGTTTTTCAAAGCAGATGATCTCATCATCTATTGATGAGATTTGGGAAGAAAAACTTGAGACAGTGTTCCAAATCATGATAGAATGAACAGCAGTGAAGCTGCAATTTTTGCCTCATTCCTTTGCAAAGATAAGGGCTAAATTTAAACTTTAGTTTGAATCTCATGTTTAGATGCAGAATTGTTTCCAGCTTGAATGAATAACTTATGATTAGAATGCAAACAGTGGGTTAGCTAGGAAGCATGCATGAAGTTTGTGGTGTAAAACAGCTGTCATGTCCAAGGAGAGGTTCCTGTTAACTTTAGTTTTTCTTAGACAAGGTACATGGTATGTTAATTAAGATTTTTTTTTTAAACTACGCAAATCTAGTAAACACAAACTAAAAGAAAAATAAATTGGCAGAAATGACTGGGAATATTCTTATCTAAAAACCAGCTGTGCAAATCAGTCTATCCTCATGAATAGTCATAGAAGTTAATAAGAATAACATCAATAGGGTTCTTGCTATTGTAATAGGTTTCTGTAAGAAGTCCTTTCAAAAACAGAATTTAGTAGGATGATATTCTTTGTATAAATATTTGAAGCATCTCATGTATTTAAAAAAAGAGGGAGATTGCTTTTAAAGAAAACAAATCTAAGAGAAGTTCTAATTTACTGTTACATTTTTGTAGGGGTTTTTCTTAACTGGGATATACAGGCAAAGATAGGGATTTGCAAGCTGCATGTGATTTTAGACATGACTCAAAAAATACTTTCATGTCACATTAAGATGACATGAATTGTGCTTTAGCTTAAAGCATTGTTTTCTCTTCTTTTTTCTGATAGGTCATTGCTTGTGAACAACAGTATGACTACTCATATGATGCTCGATGTGACGTATGGTCCTTGGGAATAACAGCTATTGAACTGGGGGATGGAGACCCTCCTTTATTTGACATGCATCCGGTGAAAACCCTTTTTAAAATCCCAAGGTATGGCACTAGATGGCTCTCTTCACTCACTAGTTTACTCAAAGGCGATCTAGTCAAAGGAGAAAGAAATACTTGGTAAACATTTGTGCTTCAAATCCTAAGAATCTCTCATAGGAAAAGACATTAAAAAGCTGTAATGTTAAAGACTTTTTTTTTTTCCAACCTGACTTCTATGATAATTTATATTTAGAACACTTTGAAATGATAGACTTATGTATTTATTTTATTCTTATCTTAGAACATAAAGACATAATATCAAAGTACCTTCCTTCAAAAGTACTTTTCTTAGCTACTATTGATGAAAATGTTTGTTTCAAAAGTGGAAGAATCCAACATCTGTGACTGTTGAATAACATTTTAAAATGTTATTCCCTTAGAGTCTTGGGCTTGTTTTATTGTGGAAGAAAACAATACAGTTTTGACTGCTCTGAGTTAGTGTGGAAGTTTCAGCAAACTGTATTCATAATTTATTTTTTCATTTACCCAAGGATGTTAAAATGCGAAGATTTGGAGTGTCATACATGGACATGAAAAAGGGATAGAAATTCCCTCTATGTATAGTCATATAAATTAGCTGTATTATTTCATAATATTTCTGGTTTCATTTTGTTTTCATTTTGCTGAGTCTTCATAAATAAGTTGAGACTGACAGTGTGAAATAGAGTTGAAAAACAGAATAGCTGTAATAATAGAACAAATATAGAAAGAATTTGTCCGTCTTTGATTAGACTGGCATATACTTGTCTCTTTCACATTTTGCTCATAAAGAATTGCCACTCACTGATAACAGTTTAAAACCTTCAGCAATACAAGTGTTTGACCTTTTGTTATCTGTGCAGTTATCGTAGGCTTTTAAAATTTCTTCTGATTGCAATTTGCATTTCTGATTAAGTCTATTTATATGCAGATGCAGTTCTGCTGGGTTCTGCGTCATACAGTTATCTCCTTCTACCCAGCTCAGACATGAACTGCCACCACTCTTTC